GGCGGCGGATTCGGGAAAGCCGCCTCATGCAGGTGTTCAGTGACTCCCAGATGTGTCTGCCTTTGATCCAAGTTTAACCGAAATCTGCGTGGGTTTGTTTCCACTTGACAAACTGATTCTAAAATTAAATGAATACCCAAAGTAGGACAGTCAGCAGGGGTGGGGGTGGGGGTGGAGGCGGGTTCTGGGGGGACAAATGAAGACCTGACTGGGGCGGGGAACCTCCCATGCAGGGCCCAGGGCACAGGCCGCGGACCCTGAAACTGGCCTCGTTAACGTGAGAAATTCCACAAAGAGGAGAAGGAAGGGGCCTAGTCGAGATTCTCGAAGCAGACGACCCACTCGAACTCCGAGTGGACACGGGGACTGGAGTGAGGAAGCTGCAGTGGCAAAGGGGGTGCGGCCGGGGACAGGCGGGCGGGACCGGGAGCCTAGAGCCAGGCCCGCAGGCAACAGGGGCCGGGACCGGTGGGAGGGACGGCACCGCACAGCAGAGAAGGACGGAGTTTCAAAAGCGAGAGAGAGGAACCTCCCCGCCGTCCTCTCCCTACATGCGTGCGGGCTGGGCGGCTGAGTGTGAGCAGTGGAGCCGCGAGCCCCTGTGCGGGCAGCGCAGGTCGAAGCCCGCGTTCAAGGTCAGCGAGTCTCCACGCTGCCTCAGAGTGTCCGGGGCGGCCCGGCCCCGAGCCGGGCACAGGCCGCAGAGGCCGAGATGTAAAAACTGACCTGGCCCCAAGGGCCCGGCAGCATCTGTCAAACCGACTCCCAAAACATGTTAGTTTGGTTGAGGTGATCAGCCCCTCGCACTGTCCCCCCAACAGAGGACGGGGGGGATCCGAGACCACAGGAAATCTGGAGGCAAAGAAAATCTTAAAAGAAGCCACTAAGAGAACAGTGTCACTTCCGGCCTCTGTGGTTCTCCCGCAGACAACCCGTGCCAGGCAATGGCACTCGCAGGGAGGTGACAAGAAGCCACGAGTGTGCCCTGTCCCTGGTGAGGGGAGGGCCCGCGGGCCGGGAACGCCGCGGCGCCGATGAGCTACATCAGGGTGGCGGGGATAAGTGCGGAGGAGGAGCCGGGACGGGCGCACGGGCGGGTGGGGAATGTCGGCAGGAAGCTGCGGTCGCTTCGAAGACAGAAGCAGAAGCAGAATCCAGCCCGAAACGCCGGGGCCTGCTCCGGAGTGGCCGGACCGCAGAAGGAAGGCTGGTAAGCGCGGGGACAGGTGAGTGGAAAAGGTGGGAAGGGAGGCAGGAGCAAGGGGCGTGCACCAGGGGCGGAGGGCCTGACAGAGACAGGAAGGACGCGGCCGGTGGGAGTGGGAGTGCCACGGAGAGGGCCGTGAGCGCCAGGTGGCCACGCGAACTGAGAGGTGGGGGCCCAGGCCACCCGCTGGAGACCAAAGACAAAATCTTCAAAGCGGCCCCTGCACGGGAAGAGCTCACGGTTGGGGGGGCCCTGGGGAAGTCGCTTCCCCAGGAGAAGAGCTTGGGCCCCAAGGTCGGCGTGGCACCCTTTCCTGGGCGAGGGCGGGGATGGGGCGCCCAGGGGTGGCCCTCAGGGGAAGGGGGCCTCCTGGGGGGTTCTCCACGCCCCCGCTGTCTGCACTGGGACGGGGAGCGTGGTCTCGGCCCCCAGCAGGGGCTGAGGCTGTGGGGCGGTGCAGACCCCCGTCCCCAGGCTGCTGCAGTGTGGGCCGAGCATCCTTTCGAAGTTCGGGAGGGAGCACAGAGGTGTGGGGGTGCGTGGGCCTGGGGCGGGACCCCAGCGGACGCCCCACACCAGGGCTGATGCAGGACGGGGGCGAGAGGTGGCGGTGACGAGGCCACAAGGGCCAGCCCAGGAGGACAGCGCCGGGCCCGGGAGCAAACAGAAGCAGAACACCAGTGGCCACTCCTCCTACGAGGAAAATCTCGAAGCGGCCTGATGAAAAGTCACAACCCTGAGGTCTCGGGCGATGGTGTTCAGAGGGCGGGAAGGCAGGCCGCAGGGCGAGAACGTGCCCCTCACGTCCCCGGTGTCCCTCGCCTCGGCGGCCCTTGAGTCGGGACACAGTTCCCAGGTCTCCTTCGACTCTCCGACCCGGACACCTGGGAAGCGTACAGGACGCGCCTGTCTTGCTGACCCCGCTCTACACCTGCCCGGCGCGGGGTCTCGGTCGGCCGGGCCGTGTTGGGTCACAGAGAACATACACGTTGGTCTCTGCCCCCAGCTCCTGGCCCAGAGCCCCCAGGACCTTGTCATTCCTTACTGACAGAGGCGCTGGGGGGACAGGGGGACGGTCCTTGACTCCGTCCCCAACCCAGCGCTCCTGAAACCCTTGGGATTTCCCGGGAGGAGGGCCTGTCTTTCCTTCTGACCAGGCGACTCCGGGCTGCGGGCTGGGGTGGCCGCCCAGGACGTCCAGGCCGTGGTCAGGAGCGGGGACGTTCAGCCCGCAGAGGGGACAGAGGGGCGGGACGCCGAGGTATCGCGATCATCCATCTCGCCTACCTGTGAAGTCCCAAAGGTCCGGGTGCTTCTGGTGGTGAGCGCGTGGAGATGCGGGTGGACAGGCGCCGGACGTCCGCGCACACCTTGCCCCAGGAGACCCGCCCACCTGGCTGTTTGTCCACAGCCTGTCCTTGGGTCTTTCACAATGACCTGGGGAACCTGAGGCAACTGGTGGCCTGACCTGTGTGAGCCGCAGTGGCTCATTAACCCAACCCACAGGGGTCAGACGGGCACCTGGCGTGGGGCCGTCCTGGGGGCCGCCACTGTCTTCGAGGCCACAGGTCAGAACCCAGGTCGCCGTGGACGCCCGCTGGTGTCTCGGAACTGTCGGTGGCACACCCCGTGCCTGGCCTCTGAGGGCCGTGGGCGTGGTGGCCGTGGCCGTGAGAGGGAGTCACGAGAGGGGCACCACTTCTCCGAGCCGGCGACTGGAGCGGAAGTCCCGTCCAGGCTGGGGGCTGGACGTCGGGTCGGGGTGCCGGCCCCTTGGGTGCCTGGTGAGGACTCCCTGCTCGGCTGGTCCATGGCCACCTCCCGGCCGTGTCCTTGGGGGGGTGGTGTAGGAAGCTCTTCTCTTCCTCTTTGTACAAGCACCCTGCCCCCCACCCTCAGCTGACTCCAGTCACCTGCAGGGCCCGCCCACTCACCCTCACCTGTGAGTTCTGCCTAGCGCCTCCCGGTGGGAGGGGTTTTCTGCCCCTGACCCCCCCACCCCAACCGGGCAGGTGATGCCCACCTGGACTGTAGGTGGGTGGGCCTGTGGGGCTCGGCCCCCATGAAGCCACCCTGCTCTCCGTCTGTGACCAGAATGGTCGTTCTGGGCGGGGGAGGCTCTCAGGACCCCCAAGCCCACCTTGTGGGCCGCAGTACGGACCAGCGGGTTCCTGTCCCGCTCAGCGGAGTTCGGCCTTCACAAAAACTCACTGCCCTGCCCCCGGCCAGCCCCTCTGCACGACCCCACTCCCGGCACTGGTGGTCCAGGGGGCACGTCCCTGGGGCCCGCGGTTTCCCGAATGGCCGACTTGTCCTGGGCCCGGTGCAGAACCAAGTGAAAGCAGGGAGGGGACACGGCGGGCCCGTCGAGGGCCCTGACCCCGGCTGGACGCCCCCTGGGGTGACGGCCCTCCCCAGAGCCTGACGCGGTGGAAGCCGGGCGCTGGGGTCTGGCCCGGTGCCCCCGCAGCCAGGAGTGGACAAGGACGGCTGTCGGCTCGGGGGACACTGCCAGGTGGACGGGCCGTCTCCCTGGCAGGAGCCTGGCGGCCTCCACGGGCGGGCATGGCTCCAGGAGCAGCCTGGGGCCCCTCCTCCTCCCGCCGTGCCTCCTGGAGCCTGCCCGGCAGTCAGCTGGCTGCGGGCCTCGGAGGCGCCAGGACAGCGAGCGAACCCCACCTCGGCCAGCGTCCCTGCCTCCTCCAGACACGACAGAGCTCAGAGCCCTGGTGACCCACAGCCCTGCCCATGTCCCCTGGTGCCCACGCCCTGCAGCCTGTCCCCATCACACCCCAGCCCTGTCCCCAAAGCTGGGAGCGCACAGGCCCCTGGGCCCAGGGCGCTGTCCCACAGCCTGGGCACAAAGTCCTTCCTTCTCTGCACCCCAGCTGTCCCGCTCCCCCAAGTTGCCCCAGGTGCGGCCCCCTGCTCCCCAGGACCCTGGGGGCACACAGGCCCCTTCCAGGTTGACCCGGACCCCGGGCTGGACCCCTCATGTCCTAGGAAGTTCGTTTCCCATTTAGTCACCAGATGTGTCCTCGGAGACGGACGTCCCCGCTGAGTGGTGAGCAGAGCTCCTCTGGGGGGCACCTGGGCCCCGATGCCCCGCCCTGGGGTGCTGACCTTGACCCTGGACCAACAACCTTCCACTGGCAACTCGCTGACCTTCGGTCACTCCTCACAGCCACTCTCACCCACCAGAGGCTCTGCCCCACTTCCCAGGCGAGGGGCCGGGCCCCAGCGCTCGGGCTCAGATAGGGGCTGGCCCGTCTGTGCTCAGCTCCCAGCCCGGTTGGCAGCTGAGCCCCTGCTGCGCCTGCCCCTCCCTCCCTCTCTGGGGGGCCACCCGATGCCCCCAGGACCCCCTGGTCCCCTGTCCTGCAGAGAGGGCACACCTCCTGGGGCCCTGGCCACCAGGCAGCATTTGCATGGAAGCCGGCAGGTCGCAGCCCCCGAACCTGCCCAGGCAGGGGAAGGAGGCGGAGCCGCTGAGGCTGGGAGGGAGTTTTATTGAAAACGCACAGACAGGGAGCTCCGAGCAGGGGCACAGCGTGGAGGGGACTGGGTTGGGGAGGAGAGAGGGAGTCCCCAGATGCCGGCAGCCCCCCATACTGGGGAGCTCCCCCAGAAGCCCTTCTTGCTGGGTGTCAGGTTGGAGGGACCGAGGAGCCCGGGAGGGGGGCCCGGGAGGAGGGGCAGCAGCGCAGGAAGAAGCCGGGACCCGGAGCAGGCGAGGACCCAGAGGCCGGGCAGGGCCTGTGCGGCCCCTCGAGGCCGGTTCACCGCGTCAGGGGGTCCCGGGGCCCGTGTCCCCCAACCACGGCTCCCTTGCACGCCGAATGGGTCGTGCCGTGGAACCCTTCCCGGCGCCTCAGTAGTCGGTGAGCGGGTACCGCAGGAAGATGAAGACCAGGACGATGCAGGAGGCGGCCAGCGCGGAGCTGGTGATGTTGAACAGCCGGGCCGTCTTGGCATCTTCCACCGCCCCGTTCAGGTCGTTGAGAAGCTTCTTGTCTCGGACCTGCGGCCACCGGGGAGAGGCCGGCTGAGGGATGGACCCGCACGGGCGGGCGGGCGGGGGCAGGGTCCGGGGCCCTTGCCATGGGCAGCACTGGGAACTATCGGTGTCCCCAGCTTACCCTCAAAGGGGCTGTAAAATAATAGCGTCCAGTATGGAGGGAGGGAAGGAAAGGTGAACCCAGCGAACATTGACACTGGGGAGTCAGGGCCGGGGAAAGGCCCACAGGGACTCTGTGTCCTTTTAGCCTGAAATCATTTACAATAAAGCGCCCAGTTACCAGTGCGGCTTCTCGCTTGAAAGTCCCCAAAAGAGTCGATTTCAAGGTTCTCATAATCACGTGCTGTGAGGTGGCATTAACTAAGCTTGTTACGGAAATCATTCTGCAACATCGTGCCCCTTAAACTTATACAATGTCACGTGCCAATTACACGCTGGGAAGTAAGTGAACCAAGAGGAGGGTGGTCTCAGAGGAAGGCACACGACTGGACGGCGGGACTCCCTGAGAATATGGGCGGAGACGGGGCGAGGGGCCGTCCGGGGGCTCTGGGAAGGGGCACGAGGGGAGGGCGTGGCGTGCAGGGCCAGAGCACGCCCCCCACCCCCAGCACTCTCTCCTGTCACAGGTCCGAGCCGCAAGCAGGAAGCGAAGCTGCGGAGGAGCCCGGGGAAGGGAGGGGACAGACGTGAGGGGCAGGAGGAGAACGTCCCTGGGTCAGCAGGCCGGTGGACGGGCCGCAGGCCGGGGCCCGGTTGGAGGGGGGAAGGTGGGCGGGTAGACGGTGGACTCACGGACGTTTGGGCGGGTCCGGTGGACGGATGGACGGGAGATCAGGAGAGGAAAGGTGGGTGGACCAAAGAGTAGGTGGGTTGCCCGTGTGGTGGGCACAGAGGTGGGCAGGGGATGGGAGTGTGGCCGGTGGGTGGGTCTCCGTGGGTGCCGGGGCGGGGGAGGGACCGGGGAAGGGAAGGTAGGGGGGAGGCCTGGGCTCCTGGGGGGTTTATTCCAGTGATTTTGGGGAGAACTGACCCCTTTATTGGTTCTATTTTTCCTTCTGAGAACAGGCTACAGACCCACCACTTATTTAGGTCTTATTTTGTTAAAATAAAGATTTATAATTTTCTCCAGAAAGAGCTGTTATAGCTCTTACTAGACTTCATCTTTGTTTGTTTTGGTTGTTATTAAATTGTCATTACAGCCAAAATTACATTTCTCACCGATTTCCACCAGGGTGCAAATATTCAGCCGACTTCTGTGGACTGATTTGGTATCCGGGTAAATGATTGTATTAACTAATTGTGATAATTAACCAAGTTTCCTATGTGACAAATCATCTTTACCGTAAATATTACAGTTCCATTTCTTCCTTCAAGTCCTCCTGGCTGGCCCCCCCGAGCCTGGCTCCGCCTGGGGGCTTCCCCTTGTCCTGGACCCCACCCCCAGGGGCTCTGTGGGAGCTGCATGGGCCCCGGGCTGACATGGGGAGGCTTTCCTGGTCCACCCCCCCCCGGGACAGCAGCCCCGCTTCTCCCCGACCTGCCTCACTCACTCTCCTGAGCTGACCTCAGCACCTGACTCGCACGGCCCGGAGTTCACCGCCGTCGGACACCCCGCCAGACCGGGGCTCCCATGGGCAGGGACTATGCTGCCTGCCTCTCATTAGGCACCGGAGAGTTAAGTCACTGCACGGGGAATAAATAAGTCAGCGGTGGGGGATGCTGGCTGGTTTGAATGAACCGGCGGTGATGAGGGATCAGCTGATGGAGCAGCTCATCGGGGCCCTGCTGGGGTTACGTGTGTCAGTGGGGGGGAGGGGGAGGGGGCCACGGGCACGACGACCAAAGTGAGGTCAGGTGGGTCACTACACGGGGAGGGGCAGACCGGTGGAGAAGGTGAGTGAGGGACGGGGGAGATGAAACACACCCACGATCGGCCTGGGGGTAAACCAGACACAGGGGCCCGGTGGACGGGGTGGGAGCGGTGAAGGAAGGGGTGACCGTGTGTGGACAGAGGGGTCAGCCAAGGCTGGAGGAGTGGAGGGGCGCGTCCGTGGTGGGCAGGAGCAAGGGGAAGGGAGACGCGAGGGTGGGCGGAGGACGGGCAGGCGGGCTCTGGGTTAGTTGGTGGCGCGGGACGAAAGGTGATGGGGACGCACTGGAGGGGCGGGGGGGGCACGGGGTGGGCCACGGACAGCTGGGTAGGGGGGGCAATGAAAGACTGAGAAGGAGAGAGGGCAGGGGCTACAGGGTCATTAGGGTCATCGGTCTGCGGGTCAATGGACTGATAAGTAGTTAGAGTGAGGGAGGGAAGGCGGGGGAGAGAACAGGAGGCGGAGAGGTGGCTGGAGAGCCGTGTGGCCAGGAACAGGGCGGGCGTTTGAATGGGGCTGATGGCGGATGAGTGAGGAGCTAGGTAGACGTCACCCCCGGGGCAGGTGGATGGGCAGGTGGATGGGGTAGGAGTGGAGGTGAGGGGCCCTGACCTGTGTCCCGTGAGGTGCAAGGTCGCCAGTTCAGTCCCTGGTCAGGGCTCACACCTGGGCCGAGGACAACCACGCATGGATGTCTCTCTCCCCCTCCTTCTCCTGCCCTTGCCCTTCTCTAAAAATAAATAAACAAAACCTTTACAGCAGAGGCGTACGGGAGGGCAGGCGTGTGGAGTGATAGTGTTCTCACTGTGTTGAGAGCACTGCTTGGCATTGACTTGGTTAGTCCGCTCAGCCACGCGGTGAGTCAGGCACACCCCCATTTCTACAGGAAGAAAAACGAGGTGCGGATGGGTGCGGTGACTGGCTTAAGGCCCCCGGACTCCAACCCGTGTTGCAGGCTGGAGCCTCCACGGACATGCGGGGTGTGGCGTGTTCAAGAAGTGGCAGTGGTGGGAGAAAAGATGGAAGGATGACGGACGGGGGCGTCGGCAGGCAGCTGGATGAGTGCGTCGCTGGAGCAGAAATGGCCGGGAGAAGGGGGAAATGGGAAGAAGGGAGAGAAGTATAAAAAGACCTGCAAACTCGAGGTCACACGAGCAAGACAAGGGGCCACGTGGCCTCCCTAAGACACGGAAGCAAACTCAGGGAGGCTGCCGTGACGAGAACGCGGCCCAAAGGGACAGACAGACAACAACTCCAGAGAAAGAGCTGAATGACACAGAGAACAGCAACCGATCAGAGGCAGACTTTGAAACACTGGCGGCAGGATGTCAAGGGACTCAGCGAGGGCCTCGGCAGCACACGCGGGTGCACTCAGAAACCCAGGGCGCTCCGACCAGAACGCAGAGCAGTTCTCGGGGAAAAGGCATCGGAGCGGATGAAGCCGAGAGTCACATCAGCGATTTGGAACAGACAGAAGAGAAAACAAACAACCAAACAGCCGATCAGAGCAGCAAGAAGAAAAGAGAATCCGAACAGTGAGGGCGGAGTGAGCGGCCTCTGGGGCGGCCTTGGGGAACTGACATCCCCCTGGGGGGGTGGGGGGGACAGAAAGAGGAGAGAAAGAGCAAGGAGTTGGAAAGCTGTCTGAAAACACAGTGAGAGCAAACTCCCCCAACGTGGCGAAGGAGATAGACGTTGAGTGTCCAGGAAGCACAGAGACCCCAGACCAGACGGACCCAAGGGGCCCCTCCCAGAAACATCGAGATTAAAATGCCACGGGGGCAGAAGAATGGGTGAGGGCTGAGGGGGTCAAGAAGCACCAATGGGCCGTCACAGAACAGCCACGGGCGTGTTAACTGCCCCATAGGAAACGGACCGGCACAAGAACTTACACGCATGACCTGTGGACATGAACAAGGGTGGGGGGACTGCCTGAGGGAGTGGGGGTGCTGGGTGGAGGGGGCAGAGGGGGAAAAATCAGGACAACTGTCCCAGCGTCATCAATAAAATACAATTCTAAAAAAGACCAGGAAAGGGGCGAGAAGATGAGCAGGTATGTGGGCGACACGCTGGGATGAGTGACTGGGGTGCTACTGGGGAGAACTGAGTCCACAGGGGGGTGGACGGACGGATGCACGATGGACAGATGGAGGGATGGACAGACAGGAAGGTAAGGAACTCGGCATGTGGAGTGGAGGGAGAAGGACGAGAGAAGGGAGACAGCACGGGAACGCAGAGGATACATAGAGAGTGACGTGGTGCCCTCCCTCCCGACCTGTCCTTTCTCACGGCCCGTCACCGTCACGGGGAAGTCTCTCAGCCTCTCGGACCCGCGCTGATGGCTGCCTCGTCCTCATTCCCTCTGCCCTTCCCCTCCGGCCACCACCCCTGCCCCCGGCCCCTCCCAGCCTCCCTCCACGCTGGCTGCAGATTGCCCAGCTCTGATGGACCTGCCCCCCCGCCCCCGTGTCTGCAGGGGACCAAGGGCAAGCCCTGGCACTGGGGTCCCGACCCTCCCCGTGGGCTCCAGTCTGCCTCCCCAGGGCTACCTTCCTCTCCCCTCCCAGAGCACGGGCTGCACCACCCTCCCCCCCCAGTTGCCTTGCCCTCGGGCCTGTTAGATTCCTCCACCTGGGACGCTTGTCCCAGCGCCTGCCCTCTGAGCCCGGGGCACCTGCCGCCTTGTCTCAGGAGTGTCGGCACCGGTCCCCGGCCTCACCCTGAGGCCTTTCTTCTCCAAAACCCTGGGCTGCTTCTTCCACTTTGCCTCCTGTCCTCCACCCATCCACCCGGCACTCTGACCGGGCTGTCAGTCAGCCCTGCCTGGGCACGGCGGCCGGAGGGGAAGGGCAGGGCCCAGCAGGTGGGCCCCTGGGCTGGGGCAGGGGTGTCTCTGCTGGGGTGGGGGCTCAGCCAGAGGGAGCATCTGCAGAAGACACCGGGGTCATCTCTCAGGCTGGGGGGCAGCGCGGGGCACTCCAAGGCATACTCATGGAGTGTCTGGGGCCGGGGCTGCCAGGGAGGCCAGGGCAGGGTTGAAATGGACCTGGGCTGGGGGGCGCTGAATGTCCAGATAAGGAGCCCGGTCTTCCTCCATGAGAGCGTGGCGTGGGTCACTACGAGGCAGACCACACGGAGGGAGGACTGGTTCTGTCTCGGCCGCCCCGGACACCAGGCTCGGCAAAACCAGGCTGCATCTGTGCGTGGCAGCCCCAGCCCGCAGAGAACTGAGCTGGCTGGCGTGGGCGCGGGCACCAGACGCCTGGCATGAAGGGGGCTAAGCAGATGGGAGCAGGCAGAGATGCGACGCTCACGGCTTCACACCTCGGCCTGGCTCTCGGCGCCTGCGGACGGTTTGGTTTCAGCCCGATTTGTGAATGAGGAAGAGATGGGCTCGGTGAAGCAAGCTGGTGTCTCGGGGACTCCCTGCTCTTACGGGACCACGCTGGGAGCGTGGCCAAGGCCCCCTCCCCCACGTCAGCCAGGCGCCCTTGGACCACCTCTGGCTGGCTGCAGACTCTGGGGGGGCCGCGGGCCCGGAGACGAGCAGCTGGACGGACAGCTGGGTGGGATCGCGGGCGTGAGAGCCGGGTCCGGCCCGGCCTGCCCTCCCTCCTGCCCGCCTTGCACCCTCCCTGGCAGGTGGGCCCCAGGACTCTGCCCTTGCAACCCCCAGGGAAGCACAGGCTCCTGGGCACCCTCAGCCCCGGAGAGGCACGCACGCTACCCCTGCCCAGTCGGCACAAAGCCGCTCAGAAGCCCATGACCTACCTACCTACAGCCTGCAGCAGATGGACCTGCCCCGTGCCAGCTGGCCGCCCGCAGCAGGCCACGGGGAGGAAGGGACACTTCCGGACGGGAGCGGGAGCCGCCCGACCCTGGGCCACAGGCAGCAGGCAGGGCCAGAGGGCACCCGCAGGGGCTCAGCTGAGTGCGGCACCCCCCACACACGCCGTACATGCAACCACACACGTGTGTACACACACGCTCACACCTACACCACTGTGCACACACTACGTGTGCACGCAGTCACACTCACACACGCACATACGTGTACGGCCACACTGATGCGTGCGTGCACACTCATGCCCACACCCCTCACACCGTGCACGCTCGCAGGCTCACACCCGCATGCACTCACACCCGTGTGCTCACACACCTCCATGCTCGTGCCCGCACAGTCACTCGCACGGCGCTGGCTGCACTGGCTGGGACGCCCAGCACCGGGTGCCGGGGCCTGAACACGGGGACAGCAGCAGGGGTCGGTGCCGCGAAGCCCGGCCAGGGTGGGAGCGGGAGGGTGGGTGGGGATCACAGTCGCACCCGGCGGAGCCCCCCTCCCCGCCTCCCCCGCTGTCCTCACCTCACTGGGCAGCGGCACTCCATGAAGTCCGCCTGACCTTGGCCACTGAACTCCAGGGGGAGGGATGATCTCACTAGACATGCACCAACTCCTTCTGGGGCAACAGGGAGGCAGGGTGGGGAGCGAGGGGCCCCTTCCTGCTGTCAGGGCCTGGGCAGCCCTGGCCTCCGTCCTCTGCCCCTCGGGAGGGGCCGCTGGCCTGTCTGTGTGGTGTCCTGCCTGCCCCGCCCGCTCCTCTCAGGGCCCGGAGGGGCCTCTGGAAGTCGCCCCCGGGGTGTGCGGTCAGAGGTCTGTGGGATGTGCCCGAGGCTCTCCCCGGGGGTCCCAGCCACCAGGAGAGACTGTCCTGGAACCGTGCGTAGGAGTGGGAAGCGGAGAGCTGAGGCTGGTGGCCAGTCCCCGGGGCCTCCCCCCACCACTGCCTGCCTGGTGTCAGATTCCCCAGTTGAGGGGCTTCGCCGGGCCACCAGCGTCCCCACTTCACCGTCCTGCCCACGGGAGAAGGACCCGAGGACTCGCTGTCACCATGCAGCTCTGTCCCCACACGCTGTGCACACGCCCTGCACAGAGGACAGGACCCTGACTAAGCTGGTGATGCTGAGGACCTGGCCTGAGGACCCTGGGCCTCTCAATTCACCCCAGGCTCCCAGCTCTGTGCAGGGGGGCAGCCCAGAGCTGGCCACGTCCTTCTCTGTGGCCCCCCTGTCCTTCCGCTCCCCTGGCTGCACCCGTGGCCTCTCCGAGAGGACGGGCGGAGAACTGTGGGCTTTCCCCTGCCCCTGGCCCCCGAGGCCACTCACCTTGAGGGAATAGGCCAAAGCGATGAAGCCCAGGCAGCAGAAGTTGAGGTAGACGAAGTTGAAGATGGACCACAGGTAGTAGTCGTTCACCTCGCTGGTGTCGGGGCACACTTCGATGACCGTCGCGGGGTTGGTCATCGTCTTCTTCTCCGCAAGGTGCTTGCAGACCGGGGGCACACCACCGACCCGCACGCTGTCCGTCTTGCCGCCCTTGGGCTCCGTGGGGAACAGCGTGGGCGCCATGGGCGGCGAGGCCGAGGGTTCCGGGGCCGGGCCCACCGGCGCCTGCAGGGCGGGCGGCTTGGCCACACAGGCGAAGCAGCCCTTGGGCGAACCTGCCGGGGGCCTGGGGATCCAGAAGGCCCCGTCCAGGGGCACTCGGGCTTCCGGGGCGCCGTCCGTGGTGCTGGCCGGGACTCCCAGCAGGGCTGGGCACTGGCCGAGGCCCTGGGCCTGCGGGGAGGGAAGAGGAAGCATGAGCTGGGCCACCCTGGCTCCCCACAGCGTCACCCCTGCAGCCCAGCGGCAGCCCCAAAGGAGGTGGCGAACCCGCCAAGGAGGCGGACTGCCAGCCTGCCACCTGCCTCCCCCGCCAGCCCGGCCACTGGCCTGCCAAGGCGCTTCACAGCGGCCTCGGCACAAACATTGGGGGCTTTTCATGGCGTTGCCATCTGCGCACAAACATTCCCCCCCTGGCACGCCGCCGCAGCACCCCCCCAACACACCCAACAAGGCCCCACTGGCGCGCCTGGGCAATGCACAGGGCTCGCCAGCTCCCCAGACACCCCGGCGCACTCGCCGAGCAGAAACCCCCCCATGGCATGGCCTCAGCCCGCCGGGACACCTGCAGCCCTGAGCCGCCGACACATGGGACACATACGCCGCACAGCCCGTGCGCGCCCAGGCGCCGCCAGGTAAACAGCTCCGCACCGTGGCACGCAGCGTGGACACACAACGACGCAGACCGTGGAGGCTGCGGGGGCTCCCAACTCGCGCGCAACGACGTCCCCGCCGCCAACCCCCGGCCGAAGCGGCACCGGGACACCAAGCGCGCGCACTCGCAGGGAGCCACCCAGCCTGTGCTGCGAACAGACGCACAATGACACTCCGTGAAACCAACACTTCTCCAACGAGGCACCCAGGCGCCCGCGCCCCGCGCCCCCTGGGGGGTCTGCGGCCGAAGCGGCCTGTCCGCCGCAGGTCCCGGACTCACTCACGGGCGACTCCTGGGCTGGCGGGTCCGACCCCGGCGCTCCGTCTGCGCGTCCTTCCGCCGTCCCGCGGGCCGCTGTGTGTCCGGCGGCTCCGCGTCCTAGCGTCCCAGCCTCGGTGCGGAGACGCCGCGGAGCGGGGGGCGGGGAGGGCGCGGGGCTGGCGGCGCTGCCTCCCCGCTGTCTGCGCTCGCTCCGCAGCGCCAGCCCGGCCGCGCGGCTGCAGCCGGAGCCTGACTCACGGCCGTGGCCGAGGCGGGCGCAGCCACCTCCCAGCCTGCTCCCGCAGGCGGGGTGGGGGCCGTGGCGTGGGCGTGCAGGGCTGGCCAGGGATGGCGCCCCCACAGAGTCCAACCCGGTGCCCGCGCAGCCCAGGCTCCCAAGAGCCCCGCTGCCCACTGCCCCCAGCCCCTCCGTCTTGCAGTGCCCCTGACCCCTGCTGCAGCCCGTCCCCTGCATGGGTCCTCCCAGCTGTCTCCCCAGAGAGCCCCCTGCCTCTTGTCCCCACACACCCATGCCCTCAATGGAGCCCCCTCCCAAGCCCATGAACCTGACCCCTCGGCTCCCACAAGCCCCCAGTTGCAGCCCCTCCCGGGCAGGATGGGACCCACCACACTCTCACTGGGCTGCCCACTGTGCACAATCCTGTCCCCAGCCAGAGGCCCTCCCAGCGCCGGCTTCCCGAGCCCCCACGTCCAGGCCCCTGGGGAGTCTCTGTGGCCCCCACACAGCCGGCTTCTCTAAGCCCACCCCTGTCAGAGTGACCTGAGAAGTCCAGTCTCCAGCCCCGGCCTCTCACAGCTCTCTCCCTCCGCCTGTGGGGCCAGACGCTCGTCTCCAAGCCTGAGTGACCCTTGTCTCCTTGGAGCTCCATCCACTCACCCGCCAGTGTGTCTGGGAGCCCCAGCCTGTCTCACCTGCCCCCCCCCCACCGGGGCTCTGTCCCCACAAGTCACTTGCCCTATCACAGCCTCAGGGTCTGCATCCACCGAGTGACCCCAGCTGACCTCCTGTGCCTGCAAAAGCCCCAGTGACCCCATCACGGAGACTCCTGGCACCTAAACAGGGGGTGCCTCCCTGAGCCGGGTTCCCCTCCTCCTCCACGGCCCCGAGACCCGCACCCTCCAAAGCCTCCCGAACACTGCCCTGGAGCATGTCCTCCTGGCAGGTCCCCAAGGCCCTGTCCACCCAGGGGCCCTGGCTGGGCTCCGCCCCATGCTGCCCACAACCCTCTCCGCTCTGAGCCCTTCCCGGGACCCCTTCTCCCCTCGGAGTCCTGCCTGCCTCCACTCGGTCCTCTCCAGACCCCCTTCTTTTCTGGAAACTGCGTGTCCGTCTCCTGGGACAGGCCCCTCCCGCTCCCGATGCAGGTCAGGAACCCACCGCCGGTCCTCACCTGGGTGGGCTTCCCAAGCACCAGCCCTGCCCCCACTGGCCACGCCCTCTAGGAGCCGGGGTGGGGGCCTAAGGCACAGGTAGGTGGGATCTGCTGGGAGGCCAGGGGTCAGTCCTCCCTCGCTTGGCTTGGGGGCACCCAAACCCCCCTCCTTAGGTCAGGGCTGACCCTGACCCGAGGTGCCCTCCCGCACCACCAGGCCCTGGCCCCCCGAGCTGGGCTTCCCCAGCAAGGCACTGCCCCACTGGTGGGGGCTGCAGGTGAGACTGTGGGGCCTGGTCTGTGCAGGGTGCCCCCCGCCCCCGCCGGCCCACAGGTGTCTGCTGTAGGTTATAGCGGGGTCACCCCTCTCCTGGCCGCCACCCTGAGTGGGTGGGGATAGGGGCTGGACCTGGTCTGGCTCCTGAGTGCCGGGCCTCATCCAGGCAGCGGCAGGGGGTGAGAAAGGCCACCCCCACCCTTGCCCTCAGGCCTGCTGGACGCCTCCAGGCTGCGGGCAGGTCCCCAGCGAGTGGTGCACGGAACCACCCACCGTCACGGGACACTCGAGGGTGAGGGTGGGGTCAGGGTAGCTGCCAGTCCCCTGGCTCTGCACGGGTTGCGGCTGGGCTGGGGGCTCGGCCACGCTGATCCCCAGTGACGGGGGTCTGGCTGTGCTGGTTGCCGGGCCCCAAGCAGGGACGGGACACCCTCTGGAGCCCTGACAGGGAATCCAGCTGTGAGGCCCCTGCACGGTGAGCTACCTGCTGCGGGTCTGCCGGGCGGGGCACAGGGCTGGGCCAACTGGGTGGCTCACGGCTGGGGGGTGCCCTCAGCAGTCCCAGCCAGCAAATGGAGGGGGCTCTGTCCCCTGGACCTCTCAGGGCACAGCAACCAGCTGCGATGACACCGTCCCCTGAGAAACCCTGCCAGGCCCTGCAGTCTGCCTGCTCTGGGCTCAGGTTTCAGGCGCAGAGAACTCTGGGTGCGCACTCTGGCCTCACCACCTCTCCGGTCGGATGTTCCTCAGCAATGGCGGCCAGCAGGCTTAGCTCCGGGTGCCATGCCTGGCAGGCCCCCCCCAGTCTGCTCAGCAGGAGCCCCAGAAAGGACCCTGCTCCCCCCAGTGGGTGCTCAGACACCCCTCTGTCCCTCAGAACCTCCCGGCTGTACAGCTGCACCAAGGCAGCTGCCCCCACCTGCCCTGCGTGAGGCCCTGAGCTGGGTCAGGGGTCACTTGAGGGAATTCCAAACCCGAACCCCTGAACCCTGTGGACCCTGGTGGGCTGGCCCAGCCCTTGCCTCACACAGAAGCCGCTTGAGCTGGCAGCAAGCGAGCGAGGCGGGAGGCAGGCTGCCCACTCGCCACCAGCCCCACAGAGGTGCCACCCTAGGCCCAGAGTGCAAGGGGCCTGCGGGGCACCAGGGACCCTGCTGCTGAGTCTCCTCGGAGCAGAAGCATTGTCCAGGACAGCCTGGCAGTCACGCCTCAGTGATGGCTGTGAGGGTGGGGCCCTGTGCCCTCCGGTCCAGGCCAAGGGACAAGTTGGCCCCTGCCCCCCGAGGCAGGGCAGCCAGCTTGAGCTCCTGGGGCCCGGGCGCAGCGCACCCCTGCTCTGAAGCCCTTTGAGTCAGTGCCCGATTGCCAGTGTCCCCCACCCCTCTCCCTGTAACTGGGTCTGGGAGTACCGGCCCTACCACGCAGACCACACACGGGAAGCAGCCCCAGCAACTTTATTTTCACATCAACTTCGGCTCCCGGCCATTTGAGGGGACAGCCTCAGAAAGGGTCCGGGCCAGCACCCCCCCTCCCGCCCCACCTCGGGCCAGACAACGCCCTCCCTGGTGGGGACAAGGACCAGGGTGACCCACAGGCATCACCAGGCTGGCTTCTGTCCCCTCCCACTGCCTCCAGCTCCTCCCTGCTGGTCCCCAGGCCCCGAATGGCCCTGGCTGGCTGGGCCTGAGACAAACCAAATAGAAGAGCCGGCCAGCAGTGCCCGGCTCCAGGCCCTGGGCCGGGCAGAGAGGGAACCAGGAAGCCAGCCGGGCACAGGGTGGGGGCTCAGCCCAGAGAGGCCTGGCCCGGGTAGGACACCAGTGAGGGGGGCGCCACTGATGGCCGCCAAGCCGAGCTGGGTCTTCCCAGTGTGAAGGAGCCCCAGCACCCCTTCAGACAGGCAGGCAGGCAGGCGGCCTTCTGAAACCAGGGAAGGAAAAATTCCAGAACAGCGGCGGCTATCGGGCCAGCAACCTGGAGAACTGGGCCGTGAGCAGGTGAGTGTGAGTGTGCAAGTGTGTGCGGGAGGCGGACACCAGGAGGGCAGACGGCCACCTCCTTCCACCGACTCTCCTTTCCTGCGGGCGGGCGGCTACAGCCTGGTGGCCTCGGCCAGGCCCACGCGGTTCTCCTCCCGGTCGAACACGGCGTAGTAACGGCCGATGAAGACGTCCCCCAGGATCCAGAGCGGGCCCGCCGGCGGCGGGATGTCCATGCCCATGAAGCCGCTGAGGCAGATGCTCTTGCCGCCCTGGGACACCTGGGACCGCCAGAGCGTCACTGCGGCCGCTGGCCCCGCCCCCGACCCCAGGGCGCGGCCTCCGCCTCCCGCCTGCCCCCTCACCTTGAGCGTGTAATCCTCCGCACTGAGCTTGTAGTCTTTGCCCCCCAACTTCAGGGTGATCTCGGGCAAGCTGGACACCTTCTCGCAGGGGATCATGTACTGGAGGAGGAGGGGGCAGCGTGTCGGGGACAGCAGCCTGGGGCGCCCCTGTGCCCCCGCACGTGCCGCCCGGCCCACTCACCTCTCCCTGGATGAGGGGCACGGCCCCGATGGCCTTCTGCAGCTCCCGCACCTCCTCCACGGGGCCCACGAGCAGGGAGGTGCCTGTGTCCACGATGGCTTCACAGCCCTCCTTGCACAGGGTCAGGCTGCTGCCCACGGCCACTCTGCAGGGGGCGTGGCTTGAGCCCCACAGCCCCGGCCCCCCCCCCCCCCCGCCATGCCCGGCAGGACACTCCCCCCTCCTCTCTCTCAGGACAGGGCCATGGGAGGAGCCAGACGCCAGGGCCCACAGGCCGAGAACAGATTCCCAGCCCCTGAGTGGCCGGGTGGAGAAGAGGGCACCAGGAGGTGACAGGCGGCACCTAGGGCCACAGGGCACAGGGTCCAGGCCCGTCCCATCGCCACTGTCCCCCTGGACCCCTGCCAGGGCTCCACGGCGGCCCCACGGGGCTGAGCCCACTCACTCGTCCATGTGGACCTGCCAGTAGGCCTTGCGCGTGACGTTGAGGTAGGCGATGGAGCCCTTGTAGTACTTGGAGTCCACGCCGCCCAGCATCAGCTCGCCCCCCGGCTGCGCGTTAGGGTCCCTGCGAGGACAAGGAGAGGAGGTCGGCCCCCTGCCCATCCCGGGTCCCGCTGGGGCCCGGAAGTCAGGGGTGGGAGGGGCAGCCTCAGAGCCCCTGCCCAGCAGGCGCCTTCCTGGGCCTGCAGAGATGGGAGAGTCCGGAGTTGGCACAGGGAGGAACGGAACTTCGCTCGCTCCCAGGGGAGGTGCTCAGACCCCACACCCTGTGTGGGCTGCAGGCCTAGCCCTGTGTCTAGCCCTGGGCCTGGGCCTGGGCCTCAGGGCCTCTGGGTTGGCTTAGGACGGCCAGGGTCAGACCAGTGGCCACAAGGGAAAGAAAATGCTACAGCCCAAGGAGGGCAACCAAGGAGGGCTTCCAGGAGGAGGCACACCAGGCAGCCTGAGTCAGGCCAGCTCATGCCTGGCCCGGCCCGCCCACCTGTTCAGGTAGAACGAGAAGACGTTCTTGTCCACCAGCTTCTGCTGCATGAGGTTATCGAAGACGGGCAGCACGTTGTTGACGGAGATTCGGGGGTAGGCCATGCCCAGGATGCCGTCGAACTTGGCCGCGATGAAGGTGATGCCCGGCTGCTTGGTGGCCTCCCCGAAGATCTGCCTCTCCACCTTGACGCCGGCGCCCGAGGAAGCTGAGTTACAGGGCACCTGTGGGCCATGGGGAGTCAGTGTGTGTGGCCCTGGGCCCCAGAAAGGCTGTCCCAGTTTGGCCACTGGCCACTGCCTGGCACTTGGGAGCCACTAGGGCAGGGAGACAAGGGCTGGCCACGGGCGGGGTGGGGGGCCACCGCTGGGCGTGCGTCTGCACTCTGGAAGGCCCACCTCAACCGGGTTGGAGGGGAGGGCCGCGGGAGGCCCCTTCTCAGCCCCGGGCCCACACCCCCACCCGGGCAGCTCCTGTCCCATGATGGCCCGAGAGGCTGGGACCCCACAACTCCACCCACTGGCAGAGAGGCCCCGCCCCACCCCTGCAGGCTGCAGGCAGACAGCAGGATGTGGGGACACACGGCCCGTGGGGTGACAGTGGAGGAGGAGCGCGTGCTGGGCCACATCCTGCTGTGGCCCGGAGAGAACTGGGAATGTGCCCGGCACAGACACAGGCTGGGGGGCGGCCTGAAGGGCGCCGTGGGGAGGTGGCCACGGGTCCTCGTGTTGGCACGGGTGCAGGTTGCCCGTGTTCGAGACAGAGGCGTGCGGTGGGGGAGGAACTGCCCCCAGCTTGCTGCCTCCAGGGGCTGGGGCTGGGGCTGGGGCTTGGAGGGGCCCATCTCCCCGGCCAGTCCTGAGTCAGCTCCATATCCAGAGACTGTCAGGGGCCCGCAGACCCATCCTCAAAGGGGGGGGGGGCATGTCCTGCCCTCAGCCGGTAGACCCTGCAGCAGGTGGGGCCCCAACGGCGCCCCTGGCCCTTCCCCTGCCTGCTCCCCACGCCCTCTGTGGATAACCCTCTGCCAACTGCCCGAGGGCCCCCCCCACCTGCAAGGCTGGCCCCAAACACCCAGCTGGTACCTCAAACCCAGCCCTCCCTCCTGCCCGCCCACCCAGGGGTCCCAGTCCCAGGCTTACACCTGTGGGCCGGGCCTCGGCAACCGCTGGGTGTTGAAACCCTGCCCATGCCAGCAGCCCGTCCCCTCCCAACCCTCTTGGCTGTCCCCCAGGCCCGTGTGTGGCTGGGTCCACACTGGCTGTCCCTTCACTGCTGAGCATTGGGGGCTCTTCTCCCCTCCAGGGTCCAGCCAAGCCCCTGCCCTAGATGGGGCTGGGGTGGCAGTGGAGGGAGAATCCCCGGGGCGGTGAGTACGGAGCCAGAGCCGGCAGGACTCACCGACACGGTGTCCTGGCTCAGGTACCCAGAGAGGCTGCCCGAGCCGTAGTGGATGTCGAAGGAGGTGCCGTTCTTCACGTAGGTGCTGGACTTCCCGCTGTTGTACTTGTGGTGGATCCCTGCGCACCCGGCCCGTCAGCCTGCTGCGGTGCGGCCTCCAACCCGACCCCGCACCGCGGCCGGCTGCCCTCGCCAGGTCCCCAGCCACCAAGCTGCCCTCCCAGGGGCCCAGGGCAGCGTCCCAACCCTGCAGGCAACTAGCCCACGCCTGGCTCCATCCTTGGCCCTGCAGTCCGGGCCCAGTGAGAAACAAGGCCGCAGGGACGGGCGCACCAGACAGCGGGAGCCCCGGGGTCGGGGCCGGTCTGGTGTGGCCAAGAGCTGGAAGCAGCATGGTGTCCCAGTGCCAAAGCAGGGCCGTGCTCCCCTCTGCCCCAGCACCCACCCCACAGCCATGGGGCACCGGTGGGGGCTGGACAGCAGCCCCCGAGGCCTTGGGCAGAGCATGCGCGCAAGGCGGGTGGGGGCAGTGCACCCCCAGTCCCGCTCCCTCACTCGTGGAGGGCGCTGGGCTAGGACTCGGGGCGTGACTTACAGCAGGCGAAGTCCAGCAGTTTGCAATGGATGGAGGGGACCCACAGGTTGGACGAGCCGGTGTCGAAGACGACGGTGAAACACTGTGGGGGGGTCCCGATGCCGATCTCCCCGTAGTACTGGGCCTGGGGAGGCAAGGTCCCTCAGGGCCAGGAGAAGGGTGCCCCCACCCCCCACCGGGCCTCACGGTGTAGGGGAGGGGCGCCAAGGGTTCGGCTATCCACCCCGAGTCCCCGGGGCACAGCCCCACCCCTGCCTGACCAGGGTGAGCATAGACAAGACCCCCTCCCCATTTAAAACAAGAAACAAGTGGTCTAGTCAGTTGCGAAGGCTCCACCTGCTCCCTGAGCCTCAGGTGGGAACGGCCTCTGCGGTGCAGGGGTCCGGGCGCCCAGAGGAGACAGAGTGCCTCCCAGGGCGGGGGCCGAGTCAGGGCCTCAGTCTGCGGCCTCAGTTCCCCCCCTGTCCCTGTCCTCCAGGGCCAAGCCTGGAGCACTCCCAGGAAGAGGGTGTGGTGGCCAAAGGGGAAGGCACGGCCTGGAGAGGTGGAGCACCTCTGTCCCCCCCACTCCGGGCCTCGGTGCCCCTCTGCCCGCACGGGCAGCTGGGGGCGCTCTGGGGAGCATCAGGGGCACGCACCCCTCTGAGCTCAAAAAGGAGGCCCCACCCTTGGCCCTCTTGTGAATCAGAAGTTGAGGGCACTCTTGAGAATGGGGTCCCCCGGGTCCTGCCTTCCCCAGGGGCAGGAGCTGGGACACCAGCTGCCCCAGCAGCCTCCCAGTGTCCCCAGGGTCATCTCTCCTGGCCACGGGGCTCTAGGGGCACCAGCAGCTGCTGAGTCATGACCCAACAAAGTGTCCAGATTCGGGGGCGGGGCATGACTCAGCAAGTACTCGAATGTGTGGGGACAGAGGACAAACAGGAACTGGTCAGCTGGTCTCCCTCCACCAGCCCAGTCACAAGCCGGAAAGGCTCCGGCTTCCCAGCATGGCCCGGGCCGCAGTCAGCCAGGACAGAAGGCACACTAGCCAGCCCAACCCCAGGTGGACCAGGGGCAGGAAGGCGGCGAGGGGCTGGCTCCCCGAGACTCAGGGTGGAGCCCGGAGGAGATGGCCCCGGCGCTGGGCACAGGCTGACCAGGCCCCAGCCTGCCGTGTGGCTTCTGGAATGCTCTGCCTCTGAGCCTCTCTCCCAGCTCAAGAACAGAGGCTCGCGCTGGGTCATGGGAGGCCCTGGGCCTTCCAGCAGGAGGGGCAGGGACCCAAGCTCCAAGGCCATTAGTGACACCTCGCAGGGGGCCCGGATGCCCAATCTCAAGGACCCTGGGCTGCATGCTCGGGAGGGGCAGGCCTGTCTGATTCCCGGTTCCTCTGCGCCCAGCTCCCTCATCTGCAGTGGGTGATGCTCTCCCTACTCCCCACAGGCTGGCTTCAAGGAGACCCCTGCCCAGCTCTGAGCCACGGATGGTGGCCCACAAGGGTAGATTGTCATAGAGGTGCCAAGGCCACCCCAACCCTATCCTTTCAGCTGAGCAGGAGAGCCCATGCAGTGCTGACCCTGAGGTGAGAGCCCTCCACTGGGCAGGGGGCGTGGCCAGTGGAAGCTCCACCCCTGCAGCACAGGTCACTGCTCAAAACTGCTGGCTCACAGGGGGCTTTCCCTACACCAGTGTTTGGGGTCAGCTGGGGGCGTCCCCCGTGTGGACACCCCGCCCCACACTCACGTCCATGTAGTTCTTCAGCATCTCAGGGACTGGTCCCCCGACCAAGGCGGGCTCCCCCTGGGCGTATTTGGAAATGGGGCCCTTGGCGATCAGGTGTTCTACAGGGCCCGCCACCTCCGACATGGTCCGGCGGATGGATGTGAACTTGTGCAGTGGAATTCTGTCAAGAGGAGAGGTCCCGGCTCCTTAGGGCAGGGCTTGCTTCCGCCCCACCCCGGACCCTCCACTCACACACCCAGTCACCACAGTCGGAGGCTGGTGCCATCTGCTCTCACCTCCCCCAGCTGCCAGGGGCTGCAGACACCTCCACTCCCGGTCCTCAGTCCCCACTCTCGTCTCCCTTGTGACAGTGGTTGGTGGGGTCCATAGGCCTCCGTGGCCACCTGTCAGCCCTGCCCAAAGCCTTCCAAGCCCCACCCACCTGACCCTCTGGCCACGTTCCCACAAGGACCTGAGGCTGACATAATCCCCACACCCCTGCCTGTCCTCCCTGGGGTAGCCACCCCCTGGCATCAGAGTGGATGTCAGCGTCGCTCCCTCTGAGTAACCCTCCGAGAGCCCTTCACATCCCCTTCCATCACCTGTCACTCTCCCCTCCCAGGAGACAGATCCCAGAGAGCTAGTCAGTACTCAAGAGTGTGGTCTGCGCCCGCTGCCAGCCTGCTGCGGTGCACGCCTCCTGGCACCCCTCAGGATGCCCTGCACAGGAGCCCCTGCCTCCCAGCACAGGCCCCCCTCAGAGAGCAGAGGAAGAGGTCCCTGTCCCGGTGCAGCAGGTGGGGCAGGAGAGCACACCTGAGCCAGGTTACCCAGTGGGATGACAAGTCTCCCAGCCTAGGGCCTCAGGAGCTCGAGGTGTCGGCCAGGAGGAGGGGACTCCAGCCTCTGCGTGCTGGGGGGGGATGGGAGAGCCTGAGGTTCCGTCCTGTGGGGCAGCCATCAGTCCTCCAGGGCCTGGGTGTGTGAGGGCCTGGCTCTCGCCCACTGCTCTCCATCCCTCCGGGGGAGGTCTGTGGGTGGGGCTGGGGCAGGACCAGGCCTGCAGCCGCTCCCCCATCACTGCTCCAATTGGGGCTACTCACCCCAGGCCGCAGCCCACGCAGGGCAGCCCTTTGGCAAAGGCCCAGCCCCAATGGGCCACCAGCCAGCTCCCCAGCCTCAGCGCCTCACCCCGGCCCGACGGGCAGAAGGCCCACAGCAGAGGTGGAAGACTGTGGGCCCAGGCCCCATACAAAGGCTCCCTGGGGATGGCTCACCCTGCTGGGGGAGCAGGAAGCCTCCAGGGTGAGGGGCCCGGCTTGGCCGGGCTGGCACAGCTGGGCACAGCCCTAGTCCGGGCCTGACCACCGGAGTCCTCACCCTGCACAGGGGTGCAGGTGCTCCTCACTGGGTCAGAGCCCCAGGCCTGAGGCCAGACACCCAGGCCTTCTCCTTAGGCGGACTCCCTCCCTGTGGGCGTTTGGGCCTCCTCTGGCCAACCGCTCTCCCAGCCCAAGGCCTATGATAAGATCCCACGTGACAAACCAGTGGGGGACAAGCCCCAGCCCCAAGCGGGAAAGTGACTCGCCCAAGTTCAGGCCTTCTGGGCCAACACCCAGGGTCTCCCGATTTGCACGCAAGGGCCCTGGATACAGACAGCCATACCACCTGTCCTGGGGGGGGGTGCGGTCACCGCTGAGCCACCGCCACCCTCCCTCTATCCCGGCAGGGAGGGAGGAACGGGGGTCGCCGGCGGGGGGGTTCTAGAGCGAACCCTGCCTGCACTTGCACAGCGGCCGCACCCAGCCCCACCCGAGGGTGGCCCTGCAGGAGGCCGCGTAGATCCCAGCTTTCGGTGGGGGCTGAGGGGGCGCACGGAGGTCACTGGCGGCGCAGGGCGCGGGCGGACTTTACCTGACCAGCGCGGCGGCGGGCGCTGCCAGGAGGCCGAGGATGAGCACCAGCAGGCGGGGGGGCTGCATGGCGGCGGCGGCGGCGGTGGCGGCGGCAGCGTCGGGACCTGGCGGCCGGGTCAGAGCGGAGAGCCCAGAGGTCGCGCGCTTATAGTCCCGATGACGGCGCAGCCCGGCAGAGTCAGCTGACTGGCTTGTTTGCTCCGGGCAGGTCACGTGGGCCACGGCCGGCGTGCGCGGGGTGGAGCCTGGGCGTGGCGATCAGAGGCCACGCCCCTGACTGCTGCTGGCACGCCCCGCCGGGTCCTTGGACGCGCCCCCACTGCCAGACTCGCCGGTACCGGGCGTAGGCGTGCCTGCCCTGGGCAGGCACGGGCAGTCCCCAGGCCTGAGCCGAAGGGTCCCGGGCCTGGACCCCTGGACGCCTGCAGCCGCGCCTCCTTCCCGCCGCAGGCCCGTGAAGCGTGCGTGGATGGTGCCCCACAGCCCTCCACGGCCCCCAGGACGCCCCACTCCACCTACCCAGGCTGTGCCTGCTGCTTCTCCACCTGCGCCCTCCGACGGCGCCCCTGTGCCTCCCGTTTCTCCTTTGCTCTGGGAGTCTTCGGGTATCATCCCTGAAAGCCCTGGCCGCCCTCAGCCTCCCTCTCCAAGTGTCCACGACCTGCCCTGCTCCCCAGAGCAACACCTGTCCTGTCTCCAGCCATTCACAGGGCCCGGGGCAGTGAGCCCTCCGCTGTCACCAGTGCTCGGTCCTGCGGACGCCAGGAGACCCCAGCCCTCCAGGGCCTCCCCGTCCACCCTTTCCTGCCCCATTTGGCACTTGGTGTCTGGACCTGAATTTACTGAACAGAGCCAGCTCCAGCCCCTGGCCCAGGCCCAGCTGGAGGAGCAGGCCCTCACTTTAAGGAGGAAAAGAGTTTGGAGAGGCCACTTCAGAGAAGGTCACATCCAGAAGGATATTAAGTGGAGGAATGTGCTAGAAAGTGACCACAGTCACAGAGGCACTTGTGAGGCTGGCAGGGCCACCGGAGGCCGTGGGCACAGCGGGGGGGGAGGGAGGGCAGAGCCTGCCGGTTGGGTCTGGCTGTGTCTGGCGAGTGGGGGTGGGGTGGGCTGTGGCTGGGTAGGCTGAGGTCCTCGGCCTTCGCCCTAGGACAGCGGCTCAGAAGGGATGGCTGGCGGCCCCTAGGGCGGAGAGCCCCCGTCCCCCTGAAGGGACGGCTGGCCAGTCCACTCGGTGCAGAGCGGGGCCTTCTCTCCGTGTCCTTCCTGGGAGTCCCTGCACCCAGAGCCTTGCTTGCCATGTGGGGGGTGCTCGGCAGTTATTTTGGGGGGCACAAAGGGTGCTTGGGGTCCGAGAGGTACTGACCCACGGGCTCAGGGGTCTCTCTGTAGTGGGCAGCGCCTTGGGGCTTGACTGTGGGGGCTGGGACCCAGGGTGTGCCCGGCCGCTCCCTCCTGCCCAGCACCCAAGAGACCCATGTGCCCTTAGCATTTAGCCTCTCTGGCCTGGGTCCCGGGTCCTCAGGTGGGCTGCAGCTCCGGTCAGGCACCTAGGGCCGCTCTGCTCTTTCACAAGCCGAAGCCCCTCCAAGTCAGCCACCCCATCAGAGCCATGTGTGCTGTGACTGGCCAGAGGGCCCCGGAGGGCCCTGTCCCCTGTGCCCGGCCAAATGTGGGGCAGGGCCAGGCAGAGGCCCCCTCAGGCCCAAGGCTGGCCAGGAGGGGACAGGGCCCCGTGTCGGCAGGGCGGGCACGGGGCCCAGGGCACGACCCCTGGTCCTTGGGTTGGGGACGACAGGCGAGCAGCCCAGGCCTGGGAGGGGGAGGGGCTGCCTCTTGAGTCAGGGGTGGGGGGTGTTGGAAGCTGTTCCTCTTGCTGTCCCCTCAGACGCCTGGTGGCCCGTCCCTCCCACAGTTAATGGTGCAGCTCCCACCATGGGCCCTCGGTGCTGGAGCATCACAGAACCCACCCAGGAATCCCTCCTGTGTGGAATTCATGCTGCATATGAGGAGACACACCACGGAGGCTTCTAGAAGGAGGCAGGGTCTCAGGCAGCCTGGGGCAGTGGAGGGACACAGAGCAACAGGAAGGGGGTGTCGCAATGGGTGCAGGCTCACATGGTGGGGCTCCCCACGCCTGGTGGAGGACCGTCAGCAGAGCAGAGCACAGGGGGATGGGGATGGGGTGAGGTCAGAGGTCAGAGAGGAGCCGGCGGAGGAGCCTGGTTTGTCCCTGAGCCGGGTGAGCTGGAGGAGCTGGTCAGTGTCACGGTGTGCTGCATGCTGGCAGGGATGGGAGTCCGGCTGGGAGGCGGGGGTGGCTGGGACTGGCGGGCTAAGAATCACACTCCTGAGTGGGCCACACTCCTGAGGCAGGGCCAGTAGGATTTCCCGATAAGCGGGACAAGTGGGGTGTGGTGGGGGCTCCTCACTCACTAGGGGCCTGTCCAAACCAGCTGGAACGATGGTGTGTGATTGGCCAAGATAGGTGCAGGAGGAAGGCCAGAACCCGTCCCCTGAAAATGACGCCCAGGGGATGATGCCCAGGGGCCGTGGAGGGTCCGCAGCCGCTGCAGTCGGGAGCTGAGGGGACAGAGCCAAGCTGGGAGAGGGGGGAGAGCACCCTCAACACTCAGCAGCACCTGAGTGACCAGCTGGGCGGGAGCAGGGGCTGGTGCAGCTGTGCAAAGGGGCCCTGGGGCCGCCCAGTGTGTGGAGGTTCAAGAGCGGTAGGGGGACCGAGTGACCAGGAGAAGGAGAGGAGGCCCGGGAAGAGTGGTTTTGGGCGGGGCAGCCGCCGTGGCAGAGGTAGCTGAAGCTGGAGCACTGACCACCCCTGGACTTGGCCATCTGACACAAGGGTAGGCACTCTGGTGGCGGTGGCAAGTGTAGGAGAATAGCTCTGGAAAGATCTAGAAGCCCAGACAGGGTGGTACTGACAGGCAAGGACAGGGAAGAAGACAGTGGGGGGTGGTCCGGGACAGCCTCTCGCTAACATGCCGGGTGGGGTTGGCAGTGGGGGTCTCCATACGGGGGCATCAGGTGGAAGTGCCTTGGTCCTCCCTTCCACCACACACCCAGGTGCCCGGAGGTTAGGCAGTGAGATGCCCCTGGGGACCCTGGAGGGGAGAAGAGACCAGGGAGGCCATCTCCGTGACCTTGGCGTCAGCCCAGGTTTGTTGCTCATACAGGAAGCGCCCACAGAGTGCCGCAGTGGGCACGGGTGAGAGACCGGGCAGACAAGCCCAGGCTGGAGAGCGAGGGTCTGCCGGCGAACGGCCTCGGACGCTCAGCAGCGAGCACGCGAGCAGCCTGACTGAACCAGGGGCACGGGGCTAGACAGACGTCACCGGAGAAGATGTGCAGGGCAAGGGAGCTCACGAGAAGGCACTTGTGTCATCATGGAAGCGCGCACCGGAACAATGAGACACCGCCACACGCCCACTGGCGTGGCTGAGATCCAGAAGTGACGGCATCGGGGAGCGCGAGGAGCGGCAGGGTCCCCACCCACTGTGGCTGGGGATGCGGCCGGCACAGCCCCTGGCGTTTACCCAGAGGGGCTGCACACCGGCCCACACGTAAACGTTTGCGGCGGCTTCGTGGGTGACTGTCAAAACGTAGGCACCCCAGAGCTGCCCTGCAGCAGGTGATGGACCGGTCACCAGGGCCCAGCGAGACAGTGGCATGTCAGTGACAAAGAGACATGAGCTACCAGGCTGTGCAGAGGCACTCAGGGTGCACAGACCCTGTGTCCCCAAGTGCAAGGAGCGGGTCTGAAAGGGTTCTGCACTGTCTGACTCCACCTCTGGGACTCTCCGGAAAGGGGGAACCGCAGGGCCACAGGGAGGCCGAGGGGGAGGGGGCGCAGGGGGTCTCAGGGCAGTGACGCTGCTGTGCCTGGGACTGGACTGTGGACAAGTGACCTTACAGATTTCCCAAACCCACAGGAGGTGCAGCCTGAGGAGTGAATGCTCGCTGAGCCTTGGGTCCGTAACCACGTATCCACACTGGATCATTGGCAGTAACCCGCCGGCCGAAATAGCAGGGGACCCTGTGTGTGTGTGATGGTGGCTTTGGGGTGCTCTGCCCGATCTGCCAACTTCTCTGCATGGGCGAAACTGCTCAGAACTGAAGTCTGTTCACAGAAAGAGGGAGTGCCAGTCTCTGGGGGGAAAGCGTAACTCAGACCGTGCTAACGTTGGCGAGTCTTGTTCCCGCCGAACACACCGTAACGAGCGGGAGGAGGCGCAAGCCATACGGACAAACAACGCTCGTGGTGTGTATCTCACGAGCAACCAGTGCCTGAAATATAAAGAGAACCACAAACCAATAAAACGTAGGCAACGCAATACAAAAAGAGAAAAACGGGCACCTGATCCACCAGGCTGCTCCCCGAAGCGCAGGTGCCTGGCACAAGTGTGCAAACGTGTTCACCATCGCCTGCCCTCAGGGAAGTGTGGATCGGACCGCTCACACCCCACACCCCCCCAGTGCAAACGCCAGGGAACTGGGTGGTGGGCGGGCAGTGGCGGGGAGGTGACTGGAACCTGCGGCCGGCGGGACGGCGAGTGGGCTCAGGCACTTTGGAAAGTTGCGTGGCCCCGTGCCGAGAGCTGGTCCCGAGCTGTCCTCGGCCAGCGGGCACCTCTTTGCGGCGCGTCTTTGCGGCGCACACACAGTGGGAGTGGCCCTGGTCACCAAGCCGGGCACCAGACAGAATGTGCACACAGCAACGCCTCCGTGGAAGCTTCGTCCCCCAGGCTGTAGACGGATCTGTCGTTCGTGGAGAATTCACGCAGTGGGAGGGTGGATGAACCCTGCCAAGCAGAGCTGGGGCGGCAGCCATGCCAGGTCCCGCTCTCCCCTCACCTCTGTCCCCGCAGTGACAGAGGGAGCAGAGATGGGGTCCTAGCTGGCAGGCAGTCTCTTCTGGGCCCCCGCCCCCTGCCCAGCCCGGGAGGCAGGAAGACCCCCAGCAGCCCCCAGTGGGAAGCAGTGCAGGGGGAAGTGCCGCTCGAACTCTGAGCCCGCAGGTTCCTGGTGCCTTGAAGGGTCTGCCGGTTGCCAAGGAGGCCGGGCTGCTCAGAGCAGGAAGTGGTTTCAGACCGGTCCTTCCAGGAGGTGGGTGGGAGGGTGGCTGAGATGCTGACTGGGCCTGCTGGGCCGTCCCCCCCCTCGCCCTGCCCT